ACCTTTGGAAGAGCAGTCAGTGCTCTTAAGCTCTGAGCCATCTCTCCAGCCCTCTGTTCAGTTTTTTAATTGAAGTAGTTTATGTAGAAAAAAGGCCATGTGGTATGTGTACACCTTAATAATTGTCATCAAGTAAACAAGTTGGTAAAGAGACATTACCAGGATCTCAGGACTCTTCCTCATGTGCCAAGGAGTATCCACTCTCTTGATATCTAAAGTATATAGATTAACTTAGCCTGTTTATAATTTCTATGAAATAGAAGCACACGACATACAGTCTCACTGTGTTCATGATATTTATCCACTCTGTTCTGTATAGAATTGATGCTTTATTATAGGAACTATTTCCATCCCACTGAGTAGTTTCCAGCCAGAGCTATAATGTTGCTTGGTTTGGTATTTTTGGGTTTTTTTTTTTTTATTTAACTCATATTTTTCCTAGTGATTAGGAAAATTGAGCTTTATTTCATATCAATTTTAGCCATCTGGATATTTTCTTGTATGTAGTCTCTTGGTGTTCTTAATGTTTTTCTGTTGGATGGGGTCCTAGTTTGATTGCTGTTGCTTTGATAAAACACTGACCGAAAGTACCAGGCTGTGATGGCTAATCACCTTTGATCCCAGCACTCTGGAGGCAGATGGATCTCTGAGTTCGAGGGCAGCTGGGCTACACTGTCTCTAAAATAATAACAACAAAATAAACCACTGACTTAGGGGAGGAAAGGGTTTATTCTGCTTCCCCTTCAAGGTCAGTCCATCACTGAGGGAATCAAGGTAGGCTCGCTTACTGTTCCATACAGCAGTACTTCTAACCAAGAAACTCACTTCACAGACAAAAAAGTACAGCAGGAAACATGGAGGATACTGCTGGCTGCCTAGCTCTCAGCCTGCCTTATACTCAGTTTTCTTACACAGTTCACAACTACCTGCCTATGGCTACTACTGCCCGTAGTAGTCTTGGCCCTCCTACATCGGACAGTCCCGCAGATATATTCACAGGCAGTCTGATGGAGGTAATTCTTCCATCGAGGCTTCCCTCTCATTGACTCTAGGCTGTGTCATGACAGTTAAAGCTGATAACTAGGATGGATGCTCTGTCTTAACTGATGGTTCATGTGTGTGGTTGACTCTAGGGTCTTGTGCATGCTCAGCATACATCTGTCTCCTCACTGATCTGTGTCATACGAAAGACACAGACACACAGCAAAGCAGATACGGTCTATCTATCCTCTTTGTATCACCCATGGATACAAGATCTTTAGTTTAGTGTAACTGGATGTTTTTCTTGTTCCCAGCAGGCTCCATCTCTCTGAGAAGCTTTTCCACTTCCATAAGCAGCACTGACCAAGCAGGGTTCTGCACAGGTGCAGGAGCAGAAGCGCCCTGGGTCCCCTTTCTTCCCACTCCAGGCCACGTCAGTCTCGTCACGTTCTGGGGCATACATCCTGTGGGAGGCTTGTCTGTCTCTTTCCTCTTGCTGACCTGACTGCTCTACCCTTTTTGGCTTCTACTTCTTGCTGTCATCCCTCTTCTTTGAGTAGCAAGAGGGTCTTTTTAAAATGGTAAATCAGATTTCATTCAGACACTTCTGAAACACCAGGAGTAGTTTTCCAACACGGCTGCAGTACAACCCGACCTCCACGGTGTGCCCGTGGACACTTGGACGCCTGCCTCCGACTGTCTCTCTTCTTCCTGTCCTGCTTGCACTTAACTGCTACTGCCTTTTTTTCTTTTTTTGGTTTTTCTATACAGGGTTTCTCTGTGTAGCCCTGGCTGTCCTGGAACTCACTCTGTAGATGAGAGTAGCCTGGAACTGTCTGCCTCCCGAGTGCTGGAGTTCAAGGTGTGCTCCACTCGTGCCCAGCCCTGCTCAGCTTCCTCAAGCACATGACTTTCAGATCTGCATTGACCAGTCTTTTCTCCTTTAGCTCCTCGTGCTTATCCTTGCTGCCTGGAAGGTGTTTGCCTGAGCTGTCTGTAGCCTTCTCTCACATCACGGTCCCGTTCAGATGGTAGCCCCGCCCCTGAAGGAGAACTTTTTTGGCTCTCAGTGCCTCATTCTCCAGGTTTCCCGTTACTTACCAGCAGAAATCGTTAGCAGGTTTACTTACTGTTCCCCTTGTCCCTGAACAAGTTCCCTGAGTGATGCTGTCATAACTGCTCATGGTTTTTACCATGTAGACTATATCCTGGGCAGAATGGAGGCCTAGTGCACACGTCTCCAAAGAACGGCGACACGGTGCAGGAGTGCTCCCCGTGGTGGCCTCGTAGGACTGCTGCTAGGAACCGGAGCTTGTGTGGAGCCCGTCTCGAAGCCTTTTGCCTTCTGTTTCAGGCCAAGTCACTTCAGCCTCCTGTCACAGAGAAACAGGGACATCAGTGGAAAGATTCAGACCCTGTGATGGCTGGAATTGGAGAGGAGGTGAGTTTGTTGCTTGAGCATTATTTTTGTGAGAGTAGCTCTGACAGTGAGACTGGGGTGGCCTAAGTGCAGTCTCCTACACACATGGCCGTTACTCTAACGTCAGGGCCTGGCCTGGCCCTGTAGAGCTGTCTTGAAACCCTGGAAGCAGTGTTGTTTCTGCTGCCACTCCGACCAGTTGTCTCTTGGTTCACGGTTCTCACAGATCGCACACTTCCAGAAAGAGCTGGAGGAGCTAAAGGCCCGGACCTCCAAAGCCTGTTTCCAGGTGGGCACCGTGGACGAGATGAAGATGCTGCGGACAGAGTCGGATGACTTGCACACCTTCCTCTTCGAGATTCGAGAGGCCACAGAGGTTGGTAGCCGTGGATATCTTCCCTGGGTAGAAGGAGGGCTTTTAGAGAGGGTTCTGTCAGTCCAGACGCTGGTATGAACCATTGTGTTCTCTGAGGACCGTCAATGCTGCTGAATTCAGGCCTGTCAGCTGAAGCTTACCAAAGCTGTCCTAGCTGTCTGTGTCAGATCATAGTTTCTACCTCTTTCACATATACTTGGCACTCCGTAAAAGTGGGTATAGTTGTTTATTTAACTTAAGTATACTGTGAAATGTTTCTTGTATAGCATTGAGTTAAGATTTTTTGGAGCACGTACAGTACAAAATGTCAACCATTTGCTGCTTAAAGCATTATTTCCTGTTACTCTGGTCCCTGCATACTCCATCAGGCACTGTGTGTGCTTTCCGAGATCCTCTCAGGAAGTCCTCACAGCTTCCCTGCCTTAGCCATATTGTGACCCCCTCTGTTTTGCACCTTAGGAAGGGAGGCTTAAAAGGACAAGTGAGTGTTTGAAAGTCTCTGTTTAGTAAGTGATATTACCAGACACGATTTCACGTGACTCCATTTCGTGCGTCTCCTCTAGTCTTCTGGTCTTAAACAAGAGCCTGAAAGAGAAAATCCCTGGTGTTAGTCATGTCCTCTTGGAGCTGGGTTGTGAGCCCTGTCTCTGCTCTTCTTGGTTTCCACAAGTCATCAGACGCAGTACTTTTAAAGACAGGAGAAAGGATAGTTAAAAACAAAAACATTGGGACCTGAAGAGCTAGCTCAGTAGGTAAGAACCCTGGCTGCTCTTCCAGAGGACCTGGGTTCGATTTCCAGCATGCACATGGTAACTCTCAGCTGTCTATAACTCCAGACCGAGGGAATATGACACTCTCTTCTGACCTCTTCCAGCACCAGGCGCTCAATGTGGCACACAAGGCAAACACTAGGACATATAAAAATTAAAAATAATTTTTTTAAATGACTATCTTTCTAAGCAATGAATTTTTTCCCAGGATTTAGGATTTTTAATTTGTCCTATAGTCACTGAAGCAAGAAACCTGATAGAACAGTTTTCACACCCTACAACACAACACAAAAAGAAGCTGTTTGTGGGACAAAAGGGTTTTGTGCATGGGAACAATGAAATTTTTTAAGGTAACTAGAATAGTTGAGACTCTCACCCTCCTGGGTCTACACAGGTTTTGTTTTGGGCAACATAGTGGTTGAGTCAGTGCATTTCTGCCTTTTCTAGTCTCTTCATGGAGACATAACTGCCCTGAAAACCACTTTGCTGGAGGGCTTTGCTGGTGTCGAAGAAGCCAGAGAACAGAACGGAAGAAACCAGGACTCTGGGTATCTGCACCTGCTTTATAAAAGACCTCTGGATCCCAAGAGTGAAGCTCAGCTCCAGGTGGGTGAGGCCTTAGTCTATTGAGAAGAGTCCGGAAACAGTGAGCTGACGCCGTGGCTGTGGTTCTGAGCTGGGGGTTTGGGGATGTCTCTTTAGCAAGCTGCTATCTTCTGCTGATAACTTGCTGTGCTTTTCCATACACTTACTGTGTTACTGTGTTTGGTTGGTTTTGGTTTTTCAAGACAGGATTTCTCTGTGTAACAGCTCTGGCTGTCCTAGAACTCACTTTGAAGACCAGGCTGGCCTCAAACTCACAGAGATCCACCTGCCTCTGCCTCCTGAGTGCTGGGATTAAAGGCGTGTGCCACCACTGCCCAGACATAAAATTACTTGTAGCAAAGAAAATGGTACACTTTTTTTTAAAATTTAATTTTAAAAATTTTAATTTAAAGATAGACTTCAAGCTTTGAACTTGATAAAGTTCTTTGTTAACATAGGACTTCATAAATCATGAATAATATTACATTGGCAGCGTGTCAGGTGGTCTGGTAGGGTTTTCTTTTTGTTTTTGTTTTTTATATTTTATTTATTATGTATAGTGTTCTGCCTGTATGCCAGCAGAGGGCGCCAGAATCTCATTACAGATGTTTGTGAGCCACCGTGTGGGTGCTGGGAATTGAACTCAGGACCTCTGGAAGAACAGCCAGTGCTCTTAACCTCTGAGCCATCTCTCCAGCCCAGTTTTTATATTATTTCCAGTCTATGAAACCAGCTAGTAACTGTGTGGTGGCACATACCTCCTCATTCAGGAGAAAGAGGAAGGAGCATGGTGAGTTTGAGGCCAGCCTGGGCTACTAAATGAAGAACTTCTCAAAAGCAGGAACAGAAAGTAGCCTGCAGTCGTTCTCAGGGTGAGAGATGTTGGTTCCGAAACCACCCCACTTCCTGAGCTAAGAAGGGCTGTGCCTGAGCTGGTGCTGCTGTGGGATAGCCCTGTGGGGCTCTGTCAGCTGCCCTGCTCTGGCAGAGTTCATTTCCTGGTCACTCTTCGTCCTCATGTCTGCTCTAGCTGCTGGGCTTGTTTGTTTGCCTCAGTGTGCTTGGGTCATCTTTCTCTTCTACTCACTGGAGTCCCAGAGGGCAGTGTATGGGCAGCCCTGATTCTCCTCACCTCAGACATGGATCTGTGCGTGTGGACTCTGTTCATAGTGTTCTGTCCCGTGCCCGGACACCTCCTAGGACCTGGAAGGCTCAAGGTGATTTCCTGGGATCCTTGGCAGCTCTTACTTCCCTTATGGTGTTTCCTTGAAGGGCTGCGCTCTCTCAGACTGCAGCCCGACACCACCCCACAGCCCCCCCCACGCCCCACCCCCCACCCCACCCCCGCGCTCGCACACTCAGGCAGTCCTCTTCAGTCCTCACACAAGCCTTGCACCTCTGCCCCAGTTGCCTGGCCAAGAGGAAAACATTCAGCTTCCATACTGAGAAAGGAAAGACTGTCATCTTTCATTGCATCGAACAGATAATGGCAGGAAATGTGATGGACACTTAACCACAGGCAAAGCAGGGGATGCAGCTCTGCTGCCACTTGCAGGGACCACACTACTAAAGCCTGCACCCATGCTCTTAGCCGCCGTGCTGCAGCATACAGTTCTGACCCTGGGGAGGGAAAGTCAGGAGATGGACATAGAATTCCCATGTGTATGTGTTGTCATTGGACCGGAGATGAGAGTGAGGAAGCCACCGAGAATGGTTTGCAGCAGGCCTTTGAAGAAGTGTTGGTTTTTGTAGCTCCGCCCAGGTGGAAGGCATTTGGAAGAAAGGGCATCGGCTAGTATGGCCCCGAGGGCAGAGCTGGTGGGGGGAAGGAAAGGAGAACCTCCTCTAGTCTTTGAGGTTACTGCTGCCTCCCTGGACTCAGCTTGGCTTTTTCTAAAGGACATTTTCTGTTTTCAGTTGAGACATAACACTTCTCCAAGAATATTTGTGAAATGCATTTCAGTATAGTCAGATCTGTGCCATGTGTGAAGCGCTTACCTTGGAGCTGCTCGGTGTCTGTGCACTTACTTGATTGAATGTCTCAGTTTTGCTTTGAATTTGAGAGTCAAATTATGTAGCCATGATGGTTAACTATGCCCCCAGCTGAGAGAGCGCCAGCCACTACAGGCTCCGGAGCCGGTAAGAACTTGGTGGCGGTGGAGACGTGCTCCTCCAGTGGGAGGTGGCCTGTGTTCGGTGCTGTGAGTAGCTGGGGTCAGAGTTACCCTCAGTACCGTTTGTCCAGTCATCTTGTCTACTTCCCAGTTCATTTCATGATGGGAAAGGACTGACCGGGTGCAGGGAGGGAGGGCGGGAGTGCAGCAGGCCAGCCAGCCTGTCCCGGCCTTCCCAGGGCCGGTAGGGAGCAAGAAGTGGGTGCATCTCTTCCCCAGGCCTGAGGCTGCCACACCTGTTCCCTTTCCCTTTCCTTTTCTATTACACGACTGGAGAAGTGGAATTTCCATTTTTCACTTCATTAATTGTTTATATTTAGTGGTTATAGTAAAACCTAGTGTTTTCCTTGTTCATGCAGTTCTTAATATGGAAGTATTTCAAAATTATTTTTACTACTTTAATGCATCTTCCCCCCCACAGCTACCAGAAAAATGAGTCATTTGCCTTTTAATGTTTTCTGGTAGGAAATCCGCCGCCTTCATCAGTATGTGAAATTTGCTGTTCAGGATGTGAATGATGTTCTAGACTTAGAGTGGGACCGGCATCTGGAACAGAAGAGAAGACAGAGGTGAGTGGGCTGTGTTGTGGCCACTGCCTTCTGTGGGAGCCCATGGAAAAATCTCACAGGTGTGCTTCCTCCTGGTTACTCAGTTCATTCCTAAAAGTTCATTACACAAGCACTAAATGATGGTTGTAGTGATTATATAAACCAGTGCATATCACATCATTTTAGAATGATAAGAATATGAATTTCATTAGGACTGAGGATGTAGCTCATCGATAAAGCAGTTGATTTGTTCTATGTTCAATCCCTAGCATCACAGAAAAACCCAAGCATCAAGAAGGTATATAAAATACTATGTAGTAATGGGGGTGGGTACCCACACCTTTAATCCCAGCACTGGGGAGGCAGAGGCAGGCGGATCTCTTGTGAATTCAGGCCAACCTGGTCTACAGAGTGAGTTCTAGGACAGCCAGAGCTAGTTCTCAGATTACATTAAATGCTTTTAATCTTGTATCAAATGTATAAAATAATTGAAAAGCATTTCAGATGACTTCAGTGGGAAAGTACAAATGTAGGAAAGAGGGAGCAGATCTGTGGGTAGATCACATATAGTCACAATGTTTGATGAAGAGAATTCTCCTTGGGGCTGGAGAGGATGGCTGAGTGGTTAAGAGTGCTGGCTGCTCTTCAGAGGACCTGAGTTCAGTTCCCAGCACCCACATTGGGTTCTTATCGCTGCCTGTGACTCCAGTTTCCAGGGGTCTGACCCTTCTTCCTTTCACAAGCTCTGTATGTCCATGGTACTCTAAACATACACACACACACACACACACACACACACACACACACACACACACACACACACACACGGTAAATTAACCTTCGAAAACAGAGAGGAATCCCTTTGTACATTTGTCAGTCTTCCAAGTTGTCCTCTTGAGAAAATATTTCTCAAAAAAAGATTTTTTTTTTCTTTTTTGTTTGTTTTGTTCTGCTCTTTGTGAAAAGGTCTCCCCTTTTATTGTCCTGGATGGCCTGGGACACTTGGCCTCCTCCTGTCTCAGTCTTCAAGGGCTGGGGATGTATGCATGAGCACATTTGGCTAGTTAAAAGGATTTGACAAGTGGACTGGAGAGATGGCTCAGAGGTTAAGAGCACTGAGTTCAATTCCCAGCACCCACATGGTCACTCACAATCATCTGTAATGGGATCTGATACCCTCTTCTGGTGGTGTGCAGACATACATGCCAGCAGAACACTGTATACATAATAAAGAAAGAAATCTTAGAAAAAAAGGATTTGACAAGTGGTGAAGATACAAAAGAGCATGCAGCCTCGTTGGCTGTCCCTGTCTGGTTTGGGCTTCTATTCTGTGGACAGGATAGACTGCAGTATGCTGAGAGCAAGGAAGTATTCACAGAAATTGGAGTATGTCAGCTCTTAAAAATGTTAGATTTTTGACACACTTAATTAGTGATTAGCCCTGTATGGAAACAAAGACTGGGTGTGTTTTGTTATAAAGGTATGGGATCATGGAGCTTTTTCTTGCGACAGTAGGTGTCTTGTCAGGGACAGAAGTAGTGTGTGTATAGTTTAGTAAGGAGAAGTAAATAAATGTCACCATGCTGGGTGGAGCAGGCTGAAAAGCCCAACCAAAGGACCCTCAGCTTGGGGGCGGGGCGGCAGGCTGAGATCCCCCCAGCTCTGCCCACGGAGGTTTTTGTGGACTGGAGCCCATGCGCACACAGGTGTTTGGGCCAGTTACAGATTTCAAAGCTCACTACACTAGTTGGGATGAGACAGTGAGGTAGGTGTCTGCTCTCCTTTCCAGCTGTGTTCCTCTTTGCTTAACAAGTAGGCTTTCCACCCGGCAGTAGTGGTGCACATCTTTAATCCCAGCACTCGGGAGGCAGAGGCAGGCGGATCTCTGTGAGTTCGAGGCCACCCTGGCCTACAGAGTGAGTTCCAGGACAGGCTGAACTACACGGAGAAACCCTGTCTGAGAAAACAACAACAGACTGGTTTCCAAAACTGCACACACTAGCAGGAGCCAGCTTCCTTCCCCATGCGCTGCCTACTCACTGCACACTCAGTTCCCTTTCTGCAGAGTTCAAGTGCTGGGCATGGTTTCTGTTGCTTGGCACGTCTCTGTTTTCAGCCCTTCTCTAAAGCTTACCTTATACCAGCTAGAATCACTCACTTGGCTGCCTTGCTCTTCTCACTGGTTCTGAGGAAAGGAAATAAAACTGGAAGTTTCTGTTGTGCATCAGCAGCTTTCATTCTCAATCAGTTCTGTGGTGATAGATGGACAGACAGACAAGAGCAAACAAACCAGCTGGTCACATAGGACCGCCAGTTTTGTTTTATTTCTATATTTTTTTCCTCACGTTAATAGAAACATTTTTACCAATGGTTAAAGGTTTATGATGAAAAACAAAGGAATCTAGACCTGTGTCTCTCTGGCCTTAGACCTGCCATCCAGCAGCACCCACACATCTGTTTAATTCTCGGGGGGAGATGATCGCCCAGCTCGCAGCACCTGTACTGTCTCCATCAGTGGACAGCTGCAGGGTTTGCCCAGGCTGGCTCCTGTCTTCCGCCCCCTGCTTTGTTTCCTTAGTGAGTGTAACTCCATACAGAACCCTCGGGACTCAGCGGACAGCTGAGGGTTTGCCCAGGCTGGCTCCTGTCTTCCGCCCCGTCGTCTTCCCCATACCTCCCGCTTTGCCCAGTTTGTACTGTCCTCTGCTGCAGCCCCTCATGTCCTCCCTCTTCTGTGTACTGTCTTGATGTTTCTTCTCTGCGGGGGGTTTCCATTTTATTATTTTCCCTGTTAGGATTGCAGCCCCGTGCGTTGTGGTGTAGAAAGGAGCCATTTGTATCTATTTTTCTGTTTGCTACCAGGCGCCTACTTGTGCCAGAACGAGAGACACTTTTTAACACACTAGCCAACAACCGGGAAATCATCAACCAGCAGAGGAAGAGGTTGAATCACCTGGTGGACAGTCTGCAGCAGCTCCGTCTCTATAACCAGACATCCCCGTGGAACCTGCCCTCAACACTTTCAACTCAGAACAGCACTCACAGGTGTGCAAGTGACTGCTGGTGCGTGGGGGAGGTGCTCAGAGAGTACGTGAGCATGTGAGGCATGCGTTTGAAAACAGTGTTGCAGTCTGTCAGCTATGCTGTCCTGGCCAGGTTCTACAAGCCCTCTGACCCCTGGGTCCTTTGCTTGAAAGGAAGCTTAAGTCTGTAATGCATGGAGTGAGTGCTGTGCCTGATGAAGCAGGTTCTCAACAGGCCACAGCAGTTGCCATAGTAACACCAAGGCAGTTTTATAGCCAATAGCTAATAGGGTTATATTTTCTTACTTCCTTCAGAAGCCCAGATTTGCTATTCTGCTCTAGTGTGGAGCTGTGCGGATCCTTGCAGTTAGCCGGTTTACTTTGAACTTACCCTGTCGGTGTTATGTTTCTGCTTTAGGCTTGTGTAATTTCGTCGTCCTTTCTGCTAAGGCACCATATTAGGCTTAGTGCGGGAGAATGTAGTGCTGAGGTTGTTAGCTTTCCTCCTGTGTATTGTTGGGCGGCTGTGTCTCTAGTGAATATTCTGTAATCTCTTGGGCTTAGATATTGAGAACAGTGTATACCACTTAGCCTCCGCCTTCTCATGGTTGGTTTGGATGTAACACTGCCCTGTTTCAGTTTTGACAGTGACCTTGAAAGCCTGCTCAAAACTACCATTGAATCTCACACCAAGCCGTCTCCCAGAGTGCCAGGTAAATGCTCCCTCTCAGACCAGCGGCACAGTTGGTGACCTAACCTGGCTTTCTAAAGTGAATCTTAGCATTTATGGGTTGATGGATTTTTTTGCAGCTAAACTGTCCCCTGCGAAACAGGCCCAACTAAGGAACTTCTTGGCCAAAAGGAAGACCCCGCCAGTGAGGTCCACCGCTCCAGGTAAAGAGACTGGCCCTGGAGTGCTCAGCAGTAGCTGTGTAGTCTAGGGCACAGTGGAGGTGGGCTGGCTGCTCATGGCTTGAATGGAAGGTGAGAAAAGTCTCAGAATCAACTGTCATTCTGCATATGTACTGGACTAAGAAGCAGTACTTGTATTGTGGACGAAACAACTCAAGGTGATTCTTGGGGCTTTGATATTATGATAATGATACAGAATGGCTTGGGGTTGGCTGAGTTGGAACCTAGCCTCAAAGCTTTCATGGGTTCTTGGCAACATTGCACTTGAGAAAAGTCTTCTTAAGGAAAAACTGTAGGTTAGCCAGTGATGACTTAAATGCTTGCTAAGGGACTGGTAAGTGACTGGTGAATAAAGGCAGATGGCATCTGTGTAGAGAAAGGACAGAACTGACTCTTGCTGCCCTTTGACCTGCACGTGTCATGGTGGCTCACACATGTGCGCGCGCACGCCACACAACAAGTAAACAATGTATTTTTTCAAAACTTGCTGAAAAGCAGCAGTATAAGAGATGAAAGGTTCTTTTTAAATTTCTATCTAAAATTCCCTAACTTCTTTTTTCTTTCAGTATTGGTGGTAAAACCTAGAACCTAGCACATGCCAGGGGCCTCTACCGAAACCATTGAGCTGCATCCCTACCCCTTAATTTTACCTTGTTTTTTTTTAAGATAGGGTCTCATGTAGCTCAGGCTAGCCTGAAACTCAAATGTGTTTCATTTTCCAAAGCTAAGATTACATTGTGCCATTGCCCTGGTGATTTTCAGCACTGTGTATGACCTCCAGCACAGTGTTTTCTAATCTCTGCCATTTCAGTCCTTTCCTGGTGGAGCTGCTGCTGTACCACCACCACCACCACCACCACCACCACCACCACCACCACCACCACCCACCACCACCCACCACC